TTGATGACCCAACCGAGCATGGCAGCCGCGTGCTCATCACACGAGTGTTGCTGCTGCACCTTCGTCTCCGACTTGGCTTCTTGACTCGGGGGCATCGCATCATATCACATCAGACTTGCACAATCTCTCCCTCCATGAGCCGTACTCCGGTGGTGACGAAGTAGAGCTTGGTGACGGATCCTCCCATCCGATCACACACACGGGTTCCTTATCATTCTCCTCAACCTCTCGTCCTTTATCACTCACTAATATATTATGCGTCCCTTCATTACATCGAAACCTCATATCTATCCATCAACTTTGCACCACTAATCGTGTTTCCGTTGAATTTTACCCTTTTCACTTTCAGGTAAAGGATCTCGCAACGGGGGAACGGCTCACCACGGGAATGCTTAAGGATGGCGTCTATGAGTGGCCTCCCGACCCTAGTTCTGTGTCTTCTTCGTCCTTTTCCGTTTTTTCTACTACTAAGACCACTTTTGCGGATTGGCATTCTAGGCTTGACCATCCCTCTTTCGATGTTCTTAATAAGGTCATTCATCAATTTTCTTTACCTTTGTCTTCTAATAAACACAAACACCTTCAGTGTACGTCGTGTTCCATGAATAAAACTCATAAACTTCCTTTTTCGGAGTCTTCACTTACATCATCTCGTCCTTTAGAAATCATATTTTCGGATGTTTGGACGTCTCCCGTTTCTTCTTTTGATGGTTTCAAATACTATGTCATCTTTGTCGACCATTTTACGAGATACACATGGTTTTACCCATTACAACAAAAATCTCAAGTTCTTGAAATTTTTCCTCGGTTTAAATCCCTCGTTGAAAACCGTTTTCACCATCGTGTTCAAACTCTTTATTCCGACAATGGTGGCGAGTATATTGCCCTAAGATCTTTTCTTGCGGAACACGACATTCAACACCTCACCACTCCTCCTCATACCCCGAGCATAACGGAATTTCGGAACGTAAACACCGGCACATTATGGAAACGGGGTTAACACTCCTCACCCATGCATCCATGCCGTTATCCCATTGGACGTTTGCGTTTCCGACAGTCGTTTACCTCATAAACCGTCTTCCAACCAAAGTCCTAGAACATCAATCTCCCTACCAAGCCTTGTTTGGATCGTCACCGACATATACCACATTAAGAACATTTGGTTGTCTATGCTTTCCATGGCTTCGACCATATTCTCACCATAAACTCGAACCTCGGTCATTGCCTTGTGTTTTCGTGGGTTACTCTTTGACTCAACATGCCTTTCTATGTCTAAACCCACGAACATCTCGTGTCTTTGTGTCTCGCCATGTCACCTTTGTCGAGTCCAGATTTCCGTTCTCCTCTCTCTCGGTACCTCTCTTGGACTCAAACGCTTCAGTCGAACCCTCACGATCTATGTCACCATCTCACACACTAGTTCCGGTTGGTCCACTCATAGCACCATCTCCCGCTGCCGTGACCTCGTCTGCAGCTCCTCTACCGACACCACTCTCGGCCACCTCTTCTCAATCACCGTCACCCGTTCCCTCGCCAAACCATCT